TTATGTGGCTCATATTCTTCTTCGCCTTCTCGTAAATTGGTTATAGCTTCTCGCATAATCCTTCCTATATATATATATATATATATATATAATATTATATTATATATACAAGGGTTTAATCATTTGAGAACTCCATATATTGTGATAATCGTGAAACTTCTATTTTAATGTATTGTTTCATATGATTTTTCTCATCTAAGGCGAACATTTAATGTATTGATGAAAGTATGTTTGTTTCATAATGTGTTTGTTTATATATATATATATATATATATATATATACACACACATATACGGTTCACAATATGAAGCTTTTTTACATGTAACTTTTGTTTTATAAATAGATTGAAAAGGTTCACATTGTGAAACAAGTACATGTAAAAAATACATTGCGAAAAAAGTATATGTTAATCGCTATTCTAAGTCCTAGTATTCGATGAAAAAATATCATATGAATTAGCATATGGTGTTTACTTCTCAAGGTATCACAATTTCACAGGTTCTCAAAACAAGGTCCCACGATGACGAACAAAGGGATGTCACTCAGATAGGGGTTGTGGTTTCAAGACGGGGCAATTTGGCTTTCTAAAAGGGAGACGATGGTTGCAGCTGACAATTACTATGATTTCGAAGGCGATGTGGAGGCATTAAAGAGGAGGGGCCACATGTGGGGAAGGGTTTCCTGGAGATAGAGAATGACAACACGTGTGTGTATATATATATATGTACTATAATATATATTTTTATCTTTAATCGAAAGAAAAAAAAAAGACAATAAAAAGCATAAAAGACCAATATGACCCTTAAGTTAACTGGATTAACGAATTTGTTTAATGGGCGTGAGGGTGCATTTGGTACAATGGACAAGACAGACGGAACATAGCAGGAACATTTTCCCTCCTACAATTACAATGAGAAGGGACGAGACAAAGCCTTCACTAAATAAAATAGGATTCTGCTTTCACTGTTCTCAAGGTATCTCCTGACTCGAAGATCAGGGAATTGCCATAAAGTGAAGACAGAAACCACGCAAAGGTGTACTAGTACCAAAAGTGGCTAGTTGACTTCGATACTGAATGAACTCGCATGCTGGAGCACCTCCAAACCCAAATATTCCATGCTATCACACAGAAGGTCGTACGCCACTTGTTACACGTTTGACAAAACTTTTACATACCATGAACATAGTGAAAGAAAGTGGAACATGTGTGTTCCATCCCATATCATGGAACAATGTGGAACTAACATATATTTATCAATATAACCTCAAAATAAAACTTAATTCTTCTCTAAGAAATCAAATACGCATCCCTCTTTACATTTTATTAATTATTTAAATTTTATCTATTGTATTTTATGTTATTTAAACTTTCAATTTACTATTCTCAAAATATTATTTATATTTGGTTTCTATATGTTGGAGTCATTTTAATCATCTTGGCGTAAACTTGTTAACAAAAATATTTATTTTGTTATAGTTTAATAAAAAATAGTTATTGGTTATTTTATGGGAAAAGTACAATAAAAACCAATGAACTTTCATGTTTGGAATGATTAAGTCCTTGAACTTTTTTTTGGAACAAATAAGTCCTTGGACTTTCCAAAACATGTTAAATAAGTCCTTGAACATTCCAAAATATGTTAAATAAGTCCTTGGACAATTTTTGGAACAAATAAGTCCTTGGACATTCCAAAAAATGTTAAATAAGTCCTTGGACAATTTTTGGAACAAATAAGTTCTTGAACAATCCAAAACATGTTAAATAACTTTTTGAAAAAAATAAAGTGGTAAAATAGTGAAAAAAATCCGGAAAAAAACCCAATGAACATTCATATTTTGAACGATTAAACCCCTAAATATTTTTTGAACCAAAAAGTATTTAGATTTATAAAATTAAACAAATATAAAAAAAAGTACTTACATTTACAAAAAAATAATTACCATTTTAACTAGTTGTACAAGTCATGAGAATGTATCCAACATGTTATATAAAAGTTCAAGAAGTTATTTAACATGTTTTGGATTGTTCAAGAACTTATTTGTTCCAAAAATTGTCCAAGGACTTATTTAACATATTTTAGAATGTCCAAGGACTTATTTAACATTTTTTTTGAATGTCTAAGGACTTATTTAACATATTTTAGAATGTCCAATAACTTATTTGTGCCAAAAAATTGTCCAATGACTTATTTAACATGTTTTGGAAAGTTCAAGGACTTATTTGTTCCAAAAAAAAGTTCAAGGACTTAATCATTCCAAACAAGAAAGTTCATTGGTTTTTATTGTACTTTTCCCTTATTTTATATGCTTTGTTCTGTCTAACCAAATGCTGAACAACTATTTTATTATGTTATATCTATTTAGATACCAAACGCACCCTTTGTAAGAGGGACCTTAGTATAAGACAATGACAACAGCGAGGGACCATATCCGTAATTTTCGAGTTTATGGAGACTAGTAATAATTTTTGACATACCACAGGTACCAAATCTGTAATTCACTCATTTAAAGATAAACAAAAAAAGAGTAAATTATGGATATGGTCCCTGTGGTTTTAATTTTTTCTTGGATTTGGTCCGCATAATTTGTTTATTTCAAGATAGCTCCTAGAGTTTGTATTTTGTAACACACGGGTCCCTACCATTAACGAACGTTAATTTACATCCGTTAAATGAGGGGTATCACGGTCCTTTCCATTTTTAGAAATTAATTGTGGTCACCCTCATTAATTATTTTATATTATATTAAAAAATATAAAATATAAAACATATACAATTACCCCCACCCCTAGAAAACAAACCCATCATCAACAACTTCCAATGAAAACTCATCGTCGCGACTTTCCTAGAAAACCCGTCACTTTCTATTTCGCTTTTCACTTAAACTAATTCGTTTAAACATAAGGCAGGTGCTTTCATGATTCACTAAACAAGGGATCAAAATCTTTGCCCGTGATCAACTTCCCTTGAAAACCACCCCGGTCTCTTCCCTTGAAACCCATATGTTTCTTCCCTGGTTTGTTAGAACTTGTTTCCTCTCTAATTCCACCTGCTTGGACCACCAAGAACGAATCCTCCCTGTTTATACCCCCTTGGACCACTAAGAACGAACAAAATTGTCCTTATTTTGTCTCCACTTCCCCACCATACAACCAAGATAACAACTAGAAACCAAGTATGAGTGCAAATGTAGCAAGGTTTCGTCCATGTTTAGCAAGGTTTCACCCTGTACGTGATGTAGGTCTAGCTGATTTAGCAAAGTTTAGTCCCTACCTTTTTTTTTCTCGATCTAGTGATGGTTATTTGACATTCGTTTGGGTTTTTGACTCTGAGTTTTAGTGACTAGGATTAGGACTAGAGTTTGATATTGATATTGAGGTTTCGATTTGGATTTGATCTTGCTATTGGGTTTTGGATACTGGTTTGATTTTGGTATCGAGGTTTAGAGTTTCATTTAGAGTATTTGGTATGTGTATTTTGTAGTTAATGGTTCTAAAAGAGAGGTGCACCAGTTGCGGATGGGGAGTTAATATATTTTTAGTTCTTTAAATAAGAAAATAAGCAAAGTTGGTAAAGAATTAAATGCTTCTCACTTAATGGATGGGAGTTAACAGTTGTTAATGGCAGGGATCAATGTGTTATGAAACTACAAATTTTGGGCCTATCTTAAAATAAACAAATTCTGGGGACCAAATTCTTGAAAAATTTAAGACCATAGGGACCAAATCCGCAATTTACTCTAGAAAAAAATAAACGAATTATTGTTTTTTTTTTATTATGGTTTTGGTTCATGTGTATTCAGGTTTGACTTGGCCATGTTCCCTTTAACTAATATCATTAAAAAAATCGTTAACTCGGTTAAATAAAGGGTCATTTTAATACCATCAAAATAAATTTGTTAACTCGATTAACCCGAGTGTCGGCAATCCCTACCAAGGCCTCTATGACCCATTCGTATCCAAGACTCGAGGCCCATATGGTGAAGGTGTCGCTCAAATATAGCCCATAATATAAGGTAGTTGTTGAACGGTTTTTTGACGACTCCACCCGCCAACAAATTCAAGAATCAACCAACGAACCATGACTTGCCCCACCCCCTTGATCTACAACTTCACTCGAGCTATGTCGAGCTACAGTGCTACTAACTAGGACTTCACACAACACACAATTTGCGACCAAGGGTTGCCCCCTAAGTCGTGACGCACTTGCTCCACGACCAATGGCTCACTAGCTGGCCATTCTGTTTTTGCAACGTAGGTCTGGCAATCACGGTTCACCACGCTGGGCCACTCTTGACGTCCAAAGAGTCGTGCAACTTGACTACCGTTGGTTCATGTTGTTCTCACTCGTTTCTAATGCACTTTACCTTATTCTTTTCGCATAACCATCAATTTCATGACCATAAGGCCTTTAGTATGATATTGATTCCATTTCCAAGCCAATGAACACATTACTTTCACAATATTTACTCCGTTTGGTTTGCAGGATTTGGGATTCGATTATGTTCCTATCCCGCATTTGGTTTAAAAGAACGTCCGGAATTAAAATCCAGTAAAAATTGGATTTGAAATTCATATTAAAATAGTTGGTATTTCACGGTATTTGTTTGTAATAATGTTTGGAATATATCAAAAGCATTCATTTTATAATAATCAATTAATAAAAACTAATTTTATTACTTTTATAATTTATTTTTGTTAATAATCCGGAATTCAATATCATTCTAAATCCTACCTACCAATTCCAAATGTTTCCATGAAATCCGAATTGCTCAAACCCATTTCGTTAAACCAAACAAGCCCTTAGGTTTACACTAGTTGTTCAGTTACGGGACCTTTCTCTCCGTTCCCATGGTTTGCAAATTTCGCTTTTTTACTACTAATGAAATTAGTAGAAATGTGTCACTCATAAACAATAAAAATTTCTCGCTCTTAAGTTTGATCCCCGGGTCCTTGTAGAACGATATTAATACTCGGGTATTTATCTTGTAATCGCCTACATCATGTTTGACAACGTGGCAGTTGTATTTCCTTTTCCAAGACCAATAATCGAAACTCTAACCATACATCGTTTAGAATTCGTGATTTCACAATTACGAAAAGCCTATAATCATATGTAACAGAGCCCGAAAAGAAGAAACAAAAATGGCAAAAAGTACAAGGGTTTTGTTCGTTCCAAGCTCCTCAAATGTCGATATGCTTCAAAGCAACCATTCCTAAAATGGAAAGAGGAAGATTGTGTTCTAAGAGCATCTCCAACAGAATCTCCAAAACGAAGAAAATACAAAGATTTTCTTGATAAAAGTTGGCTCCAACAGAAACCCCAAATCATTCTCCAAAATGGATTATCAAATGGTTGGGATTTGTATTTCTGTTTATTAATCTTCTAACGTATTACGTTTGTCTGTTTATGTATCTTTTTCATCTTTGTACGAAGTGATTGTACGTGTAAAAAAAGAGAAACGGATGGCGTAAACGTACCACTTGTGACGACGCTTATATCCTGCTTATATCACGACCAAAAACGAATGTAGTTAGCCAGTTTATCGCCACATAAAATCTATTCCTCCAGCTTACGACACGTGTGAGATAAGCAGAACGCCAAATGAACCAACTAGCAAATCCAGCAATCGACAAACCTTTTGCTTCCTGAAATAGAAATTTTCCACGAGTTGAAGAATTGGTCCTTGTGTGCGGACCAAACTGGACAGACGAGAGCAAGGCAGGCAAGTGAAAGAATTCCAAAGGGTTTTAATTTTTCATGGGTAGTTTAGTAATTTACCAATCTTGTCACATCTCCCTTATTCCTGTTCCACTTTATTTTGGTGCAACAAAAACGTAACATTTTTGTCCCACTAAAGGTCCCGTCAAATGTGAGACAAGTCTTTTTATTGGTTTGTCTTGTCCTGTCCTATCCCGCATTCCAAAGCAACAAAAAGACGAAAACGCCCGGATATTTTATAATTGTTACCTTGCTTTGCCTGAGATCCACAAGTGCCTTGTAACTCCCAACAGTTGCCATGCTTCCCAAATGCTTATAAACAAAAGGCGCCCCGAGTTCCAAATCTCCGTCACTATTAGCATGCCCGCCACCCGCCTTACCGATCTTGTTTAAAAGTTCCGCCAGGTACTTCCCCTCCCTCTCCGCCACCTGAAACACATGCATTAATCAAACCACCCTTAAACCCCACACATACATAGGGTCTAGGGGTAGGAGTTGGGATCATGTGAGAACATGTTGTTTTCGTGTGACTCATGAGATCACATAAATAACCCTAAACCTTTATAGCAAAACAAGGTGAAGGTAAACCTTTACAGTGTTTTTGCTGTGAAGGTTCGGAGTTTTTCCTACCATCACAATGTTTTTCTATGAAGTTTTAGTGCTATTTTGTGTTCTCATGGGTCTCACGAAAACAGGTTGGTCTCACGTGAACCCAACCCCTAGGGGTAGGATAAAAACCTAACCAAACAGACCCGGTAAATACTCGTGTGATTGCAGATAAGAAAATAGAAGTGGATAACATGCACCAGGGGAGCACTTACTTGAGCCAAAGCCGGAAGGGTTGATTTGCCGGTACTCTCAAGGTACCCACAACAGTCCCCAATCGCAAATACATCGGGTACAGATGGTACCCGTAACCACTCATCGATCCCAATCCTACAAACGTAGAAAATTGATTCGTGAGTTGCGTAAGTGTTATTGAAAAAGTCTCATTTCGTATAAGCCGTAAACCAGCTGATAAGCTTTCTGAAGCACTACTCGAAATAGCGTTTCAATAAGCTCCAGGAGCTTTTTTCCCTCTTTTTTCCAATTATGCCCCTAGTATTTTTTCAACCATCTATTTTCACTTTCTTTTTCCAATTATGTCCATAATCTTTGGTGAGTTCAGTAAAAATTTAGGATAGAAATGAATAAATTCACACAAAAAACGTTACGCTAATCGTTCAAATCAGGTTCCATGTCCAACAAACCTAATAGATTATCGACATCTGAATGAACGTTTATTACCTTCCTCCAGGAGCCTTCGGAAGATCCGTCTTTTGAACGAACGTCGAGGGACCAACACCAGTCGACCACACCAATAAACCATACGGAACATCAGTTCCGTCACTAAGAACTATCTTCTTAGGTTGAACATCCTTCACAGTTCCACGAACTAAACGAACTCCTGACTGAAAAAACTTGATATTTGTAAATATAGGCCACGTTTCGCAACCATAAACCAGCTTATTTTTTGAACTTATCGAAAAATCCCCGATTGGTTAGCCTCGCTTATTAAAACGCTTCACGGGATTTTTCAAGTTTTTTCCAATTATGCCCCTTGTATTATTCCCAATTAATTTTCCAACATGTCCTTTTATCCTTTTGGGTCATTTTACATTGTCATGTAACTTACAGGCTAGCTTATAAATTGGCTTATCAGTTAGCAGCTAGTTTATCAGCAAACAACTAGTTTGAGCTAGTTTATCGGACAACAGCTAGATTATTGGCTAGTTTTTCATACGTAGCAATAACCGACACAGAAGGGACTAAATCTTTAGTCGGACAAGATAGTATTTTTACCTTAGTCAACTGCTTAGTAGCATATACCCGAAGACGATCATCAAATGAAGATAAGATATCATTCGCCTGAAAGAATTCACCCGGGGGGTTCAAAACTATGCCAAATTACGTACAGAAAGAACCTCCAAACGCGTAAAACCTCACCTCGATCAACGTAACGTGAATGTAATCTTTCACATGAGAATATCTTTGATGAACATCTCTCATGATGAAATCACTGAGTTCGCCACTGAACTCAACTCCAGTTGGACCGCCTCCAACAACAACACAATGCAGAAGTCTACGCTTTTCTTCATCAGATACTCCTGCGGATACGTGCCATATTCCGTTAATATTTTCAAAACGGGCCCCACAAGAATATGTACACGAATAACGTGAAATAAGAATCGATGTTTGAAGTTAGCAGTAGATACCGGGGACATCAGAAAGCATCAAGTTGAGAAGCAGTTTTCTTCGGATTTCTTGAGCATGGTGCACCTCACGAAGAAAAATGGCGTGTTCTTTGACACCTTTGATTCCAAAAGTTGAAGCCTCGGCTCCGGAGGCAATGACTAATTTGTCATACGAAACCTTGAAATCCCATGGATCCATTGTCTGTGCTCCTTCGGTTATTGCTTGGCAATGCACCTGTAGAGTAATGGTTCACAAATTGTCCTTGATTTATAGCAAAAAATATCGCCTAGGACGCCAAAAATATCTAAATATCCCAATAGACTGCTTTATAGAACTTAAGTTTATAGGACCAAACAATTGTGTATTATATGTAAAAGTGTTACAATAGTGTGTTAGGACATTCTTGGGTATCGAAAACGTCCTATCAACTTATTGTAACCTACACAATTATTTGGTTCTATAAACCAAAGTCTAACAAGAATTTTAGCAATGAACTTGAATGCAAAGCAAATTGTAAAACCAAATTAACGTCTTCGATTACGGGTGGATTCTCCTGCATCTGTATGTGATCTCTATAGTTATCAACACTAACACTAAACGGCTTTTTGGCTGGTTTTCCATTAAGTTCTGTATGAATAAAGTAGATTACTTTGTTTGTATAGAGTAAAAAGTTTTTTATGTGTGATGGTTTTTTATTTTTGGAGGTCCTGCTATATCCAAAACTGATTACATTGCATAAATAAGATAAAAGAGAATATATGTTAAAAGAACAAAAATGGGCTAAACCTAAAACGATTAACAACATCAAACTAAAACTATTCCAGTAATGATTTGAACCTAAAATCAAACAATTAATTGTTTGAACCTAAATAATTTCGGTTATAGTTTTACACAATTCGATAAAAAAGGCTCTAATCACATGTAAATTTGGCTCCAAAATTTTAGGGCCCTTTCAAAACCTCCCATTTAAAGCAAAAGGGTTTTTGCAGATTCAATTGGTCAGAGATGACAACTTTAATCTACATTCAAGAATCTGGTATCAGAAACCATTAGCATACCTCATGATTCTTGACATCAAGGCCTTTGCAATTAGCTAGGAAGAAATACGAACCGGGTTCGCTGGAGATCGCCGGCTGAATCCGGCCGATCGGCTCAGCAACAGACCGGAACTCGAGAGTACCGACACAGGTAGAAGCCAATAGAGGAGTAAAAACCATATGGTTCCTAGGGGAAACACAAACGACATCGTATAAACTGGTGTCGATGCCTTTCATAAGCCTACACCCTGCCCAACCGGAACCCAGAACCACCACTCTAGGCTTGTCGGTTTTCTTGGTGGGCTCAAGCCCGGAAGTCGGTGGAGCCACTGCATCGCCGGCGGTGGTGAAGTGGTGGAGGTGTTGCAGGGAAAACAAAGTGGGTGGTGTGAATTTGCCGGTGGAGTGGTGCTTGAACGGAGAGGACAATCGAGTTAGATTCTTGAACCAGTACATCGCCGGAGTTAATGGTGAAGTAAATTGATGGATGGAGGGGTTGAAGAAGATTGCATCCTGGTGATTGTGAAGTGGAGTATTTTTAAGAGGGATAAAGAAGGAATTATTGACCAAGCAGGTGGCAGGATGTAAAGACTACAGATGGCGGCTGAGACTAGATTCAACCGGTGGTCGGATGATGACGACGTGTTTCACCGGTGGCTCAATTTCTAATTGAAAATTCAAAGCTCATTTCGATTTGGACCCGAAAACTTCGTTTGGGCGAAACAAATTTGATAACATTTAACCGTTAGGGTGGTGTATGATTGATTTGAGTTTGGTTTCAAAGAAATGTATCAGATGGTTTTAGGTTCAAATTCAATGAGGTATAAAAATATCCTTGGCCACGAAGGTTCAAATGCGGTAACTTCGAACTATCTGTAAATCAGGTGATCATCCTGGGATTAATTTGTTCGCATAACAGGTTGGATATCCAGTTTAATAAAAAAAATTGATAACATTTTTACATCAGTTTTGAATTAATTTATTAGAGATTTTTATTAGTTTGTTTGAGAAATAATAGAATAGGGATCCCTATTTTATGTTGGGTAGAAAATTTTATATGAAACAAAATGAAATAAAGTGGAACAAGTTCGACGATCCCATAAAACAGGATGAAATAGATTTATATTTTACTAATATAACTTTAAAATAAAACTTAATTCTCTTCTAAAACATCAAATATAGGGATGCCAAAAAATGACTCAACTCGCTAACCTAACCCGAATCCAACCAAAAATTAGCAGGTTAGGTTGAGATTTTCAACTCATTTAAATAAATGGGTCAACCTGCCTAACTCATTTAAATAAATGGGTTGAATTTTTTGATCTGTTTTCAAACCGTTTAAAATATTATATAATTTTATTCTATTATTAATATTATATCTAGTATTCTAATTTTTAATTTTGTATTATTCTTAATTAAAAATCCTACCGTCGAACGATGAAACTCCAAATTCCAATCATCTCCATTACTCTTAATCATTATGAAACTCTAAGAAAACTCTTTCGTCTTATTCCATATTATCGCCTCCAAAGTCCAATCCAACTTATTTTGAACAATATATTTGTTGTGGTTATGTACTTATGTTTTATTCAAACTTTGAATAATTTATTTGTATTTGTGGTTTTGTTTTATTCAAAAAAAAAAAAGTTAAATAGTCTACTCCTTTTCTTATTTAAATTTTTAAAATTAAATGGATCAACCCAGATTCAACTTATTTATTTAACAGGTTGGGTTAAGAAAATCGTAAACAGATCAACCCACTGTCAACCCATTTTGGTAACAGGTTGGGTTTGGTTGCAAAATCTCAACTCATTTAATTAAATGGGTTGGGTTGGGTTGAGTTGAAATTTTCAATCTATTTTATAAATGGGTTAAACCCGAACCCAACATGATCCATTACCACCCCTAATCAAATATGTCTCATATTTACATTTTATTCACTATTTAAATTTTATTTATTGTATTTTATGTTTTTTAAACTTTCATTTTATTGTGTTTAAAATATTATTTTTTTAGGCTTCTATACTTTTATTAATTTATATAATCTATTATATATTAATAATAAAAAATAATGTGTAAAAGAGATAATATAAAAATTGAAAACTTTATAAACTTTTTATTTTGGTGTCGTTTTAATTGTTTTGATGAAGTATTTCTAATGATATATTTTATTATAAAAAATAATTATTGTATTATAATTTAATAAATTATATAAATTAATCAAAATATATAAACAACTTATTGTCATTTTACTTGTTATTTCTTACCAAACATTGAACAGTTGTTCTATCATGTCATGTTATGTTCTGTTCTGTCCCATCATGTTGGGACATCAAACGCATCCTAACAGATTTTTCAAAATGTCTTTAAAATGAAGAATTAAAAGTTAATATTTTCAAAAAAAAATTACATTCATCTTCAACAAATTTTTATTTTGAAGAATCCAACATTGATTATAATATTAAAATATTTCATTCATCTGTTAAAAAAATATTATTTCTCTCTTTAAATGTTTGTTCTCAATGTTTCATATTGGTACTCTCACTTGTTAATCATTTTTTGGGTGATCTCCATATTTGGAGAAAAAACCATTCTTTCTCCTACTTTTTCCATTTTGAAAATGGTTTTGTGAAAGTTATTGAAGCAAAATATAAACTCAAAATCCCCATTTTTGAAAAGGCTGTTGATGTTGAAAAGATGCTCTTATGTAGTTTGATAATAAGACTATATCCGATTAAAAACCTAATATCTCTTTGGAGTCGATGTTCCTTACCCGTGAGTTCTTTTTCTTCCGATTATATGAATTCCTTTTGTTAAAATCCCTTAAAAGTTATGATCTTTAAAGTTTGATGTAATAACGGAGCAAATGTACGTTGGGGATAACAGGCAGATGACTCCCAAGAGCTCTTATTCGAATCTATTGCTAACTTCACCATGATCGAGTAGGTGAAACGGTTCTGCAAAGTTTGTCAGTCCTCTTTTTTCAGAGCCGGAAGAGAAAAGTTGAAATTGGTCTTTATTTTCTGCATTTTTATGGGTTTGAGATTGATTTTATTACATGGAACATTAGTGGTATAAGTTTTTTTAAAAGGAAATTAAATGTTTTGTTAATAACAATTGATGGAATGGTAAATTAGTTGAATAAAAAGTTGGATCATAATATTGGATGTATTCAACCCGATCAAATGGATATCCAATAATAACATCCAATGGATGGAACCGACTTCAAATTTTCCAGCGTATCTTACATCCAACATTTGATTTAATGTCAGTGGCGTAAGATGCGGGATAAGTCTGGACAAGTAATGGTACATATACTTGCGGGTTGGATATTCTAGTGTATTTGAGGTTGGCTCGTGAGACACTCGTTGCCACGATCGAGAGTGACAAGTCAACCAAGTTGTCAAAGGTTGTTTTGTGGATGAAACTAGACAACCCAATGTCCCGACCGTGTGTCACATGCTCAAGTCGCGATCATTGACTATCGGATTCATTTTTCAACTTAACGCCGATTGGTTTGTTATCCTTTTCAATACTTGCTTTTTAATCTATAAACGAACCAACATTTGTATGTTCAAATTATGCCATCTTGACAATAATATTCTTTAATGATGATTAAAAATATTATATAATTGCCCTATCTTTCTTTTCTCCTCTGGAAAATCAAGCAATATCTAGGAAAAACCGTCTCCATGGGCTTAAGTCCATCTTAGCTAATTTTCAGCTTTTCTACGATATCAATATTACTTTCTTAGTAAATCTAAATTAAATGATAATAAGAAATTGAATTAAAAAAGTTACACCAAAAAAACGACAACTATTAAGTAGTTAATTTGATACTAATAGCAATTTTATTTTTTTCAAATTTTTATGTTATCTTCGAATTTATATTTCATTCAAAAATAAAAATATCATCGTTTTCTCAATATCACATAAAATCGTATTATATTGATAGAGACAAAGAATAAAAAACTAAACATTAAAATGGAGATTTATCTCGCTGTATTGCACGAGTACCCTTCTAGTATGTGTGTGTGTGTGTGTATAGCTATATTATATCTAGGGCCGTCTATTAGCATGTTAAATTATTGTTTTTGAACAAGCCCTCAAAAACTAAAAAAATTATATCCATTGTTAAGAAAATTTGAAGGAAAGAAAAACTAAAACAAAAGGCCATTGGTCAATTGATGCCCGATATTCCCATAGTCTCACCTCTCTAGAGTTAGGGATTCAAGCTTCATTAAAATCGAAAAGTGTTAGTAAGTTTAATTTGTCGTACATAAATACTATATACTTATAAAAATGAAAAGAAAAGGTTAAAAACTTAATGGCCCATTATAAGAACGATAACTTTGTTACAATCACGCCTGATAAAAGAAGCTCTGTTACTCGATCTATTTGCTATCGTAACACATTGAACCAAGATTCTACAGTTTGATGATGAGGTTGTCTTTAAATAGCAACGACAATAAACACAAAGGTAAATAGTTTTATTACATCACGACCATTAAATAGAAAATATAACATATGTGTCTGCTTTGGATTAGTAGATTGGTAGAAGTAAAGTTAAACGATTAGTTTCATTGTTGTTGACGTAGAAACAGACTTAAAAGTTTCGCTTATTTGGTGACTTTCCACCCTTTCCTCTAGGATCATGTCCTTGATTTGCCGACGGTTGACCATAGTCATCGAGATGCACTGCTAGAAGCTTCCTTTGAATCTTCATGTTCCTTGTCGTCGTCGCTTCTTCTCCTATCGTAACGATCGTACCACAAAAATTCTTTAATAAGCTATATCCTTACTATATTATAAAGCATTTGAAAAAAAAAAATAAACACGGTTTATTAAGTATTAAGTACTATAGGCTACGTACAACTTTCCAAATCCTAATAAAACTAACTGATAATCAAATGATAACGTCGATAGATCTACTTTATTTTCTTTAATTATCATTAATTTTTTAATTAAGCAAATGATATGAAAAATATATTTTTTCTCTATGATTTATATCTTGTACGAAACTCAACCATTATTACAAACCATAGAAACCAATTAATTGAGATGTTTATAGAAATGATTAGAACTTATTTATTATGATTTAGATATTTATGAAAGCTTATATAAGTTAATTCATTATGATCCCTACAAAACAAATTATTTTTACTTACAAAAATCTCTTAGAGATATTTTCGTCGGTGATTACTGATGGATCACTCAAAGAATACCAGTAGTAGTACGGTAAAATTCGATGTTTTTGGAGAAAATACCAATGGATCACCGAGACAATCCTTGGGTAATATGTTACTGATTTGAATTACTCACCAACAATGGTGACGGTTTTGTGAGAGACCACCCTTTAGCGACATATTTCCCAGGAAAAAGTCTTTCATTTATTAACGAATCAACGCTTTATATTAAAAAGCAATAGAGATATTTATAAAATCATATATTCATTGGACCTGATGAATGGTTGAGATAAGTTTTTATGTCTTGTATTAATGGTTGAGTTTGTAAATGAAACCACATCTCTCTATAATATA